TTCTTAAGACCTTCAGCTGATTGGGTGTTGTTGTTAAGTGCTGTCGAGTCAATTCCAACCCATAGTAATTCTGTATAGGGTTTCTGAGGAGTGACTAGTGAGCTTGAACCACTGACCTTAGAGTTCAAAGTGACTTTTCAGTCCAGTACATTAACCCACAGCACCACACCATGACTTCTCAACTGATTGGATGTTGTTGTTGTTGTTAAGTGCCGTCAAGTCATTTCCAACCCACAGCAACCTTGTACAGGGTTTATGAGGTTATAAATCTTTACAGAAGCAGAAAGCCTCATCTTTCTTCCGCGGAGTGGCTGATAGTTTCGAACTGCTGACCTTAAGGTTTGCAGCCCAATTCGTAACCACTACACTACCAGAGCTCTTTAACTGATTGGATAAGGCTCTACAAATTATTAAGTGTAGTCTACTTTGCTTAAAGTTTAACTGATTGTAGATGTTATCCACATCTATAAAACACTCTCAAAGCCGCATTTAGACTAGTGTTGGATGAAATATCTTATACAAGATGATACATAAAATTAGCCAGGACACTCAGTCACCATAACATCGCCCTGTTTTATTTTCTTCTTAGCAATTTTTGTCCTCTAAAATCATCCTGTTTTCTTGTTTATTGTTTAAGTCATGCCAGTACAACAATGTCATTAAGGGCAAGTACTCCAGAGTTAGATGACTAGAGCTAAAATCTTGGCTCTATCACTTTGCATCTCTGGGACCCTGGTTAAGTCATCTTAATGCAGACCTTACAGGACTGTTGTATGGAAGAATTGCATATAAGGCACTGAGGGCAGCACTGGCCTATGGTAAAAACCATCCACCTGCCTATTGTTACTGCTGTGATCATTACAAGACTATGCCATTCACCTCTGCAGTCTTTGTGCTTAACACAGGGCTGGGAACCGCACAGATACTCAGAAATGAATGAGTCAGAGTTCTCCCTACAAACATGTCATCCAACTTCTCTCTCTGAAGTTTGACTCAGTCCCAAGTTGGACACAAGAAGGAAAGCAACAAAACTCATTTTGGAATAAGATCAAAGGTGAGAATCTGTGTGTAAGGCACAGCCTTCTTTCTGGGCAGCCCCTGTGGGTGATGTTGGGTTTCCCTAGCCAGATATAGTGCCTTGGTGTGAAACAAGATCTATGGCTTCATACTGCCTTCTGCTGGCTGCCCAGCAAACTCACAAAGGTCAGATGAGCACCAAGTTTCCATGAACCCTTTGTCCACAACTTTGTGTGTTCCTGCTCTGTTTGCCTCCTTGGCACATTGACCCTTGCTGCTACAACCACAGGTTTCCTGACATGCTGAACTCTGGCCGTCCTCACTGCCTGACAAGTCTTCAGTGCTGGTGGAAATCCCTGCTCCACGCCCATGTGTCTGTGTCCTTTCCACACTTTGTGAGCTCCTTAGCAGAGGACCTGCATCATCATCTCCACCCTCCTCCATGTCTCTCTAGCTCAGATCTAGGTTTCAGGGCATTTCAGAACCCACTCTAAGACAGAACTTCACTGTTTCTCTTGCTGAGGCCCCAAGGAGGCTGGATCTGGGGGCTTCTCACAGGATCACTCTACAGACTTTCTAGATTTCTCTCTGCAGCATGTCAGAACCCCTGTGGATGGTGTTGGGTTTCCCTAGCCAGGTATAGGTGCTTTTTTTTTTTTTTTTTTTTCCTTTTCTACAGAATAAATAGAGAATCTGAACTTTCCTCTGAATCAGATTATTTTGGAGAATGCTACCAAGTGTTTATTGATTTGGTGGTGACCCTATAGTCTCTCAAAAGTACAGAGGGGTTCACGTTGGGGCTTGTAACTAAGGAAACTTTTGAAGACTCTGCTCTGGAGTGCATGGAGAGATAGTAGGCTCTCCTGCAAGTCTCAAAAGGAGAGGAATTGTTCCATTGGCTGCAACACTGTCCTTATTTCTTGTTCTTGGGCTTTAAAAAGCCCCACTGATAGAAGCAAAAAGTTCTTACAGAAGTCCCAGAAGATGCCTTCATTCGCCTTATTGTTGAAGCTTAGGGATATCTCCTTAATAGGTTGCTTAAGGCAAGAACGGCAAACACTGGTATACACATTTCACCTTTATTATCCGAGTCTTACTTGCAATAAGGCCCCATCTGGGGCCTCTGTACTGAAGAGTTGTTTGCTTATCATTGTGCAACTGGCCTGTGTTTCAGAAGCTGGCCCACATGCCATTGGGAAGTGTGGCTTTCTTTTAGAAATGAGGTGTGTTTGCAAGAGTACCAGGAAACAGGTAAGATTTAAATGTTCCATCTAAGATGGACCAGAAAGGGCAGTTCCCTGGACCCTGTTGTTATTGTTAAGTGCCGTCGAGTTGGTTCTGACTCATAGCAACCCTGTACAGGATTCTGAGGAGCATCTTGTGAGTTTGAACCACCGTGATTTGCTCTTTGGAAGGAAGGGATTTTTTGCTTCCTACTATGGGCCCGTGATTCATCCAAGCAAGCACAAGGATGATTTCAGTTTTTTAAATCATTTTTGCAACAGTTTGTCAATGAGATTAAACATACAGAGGGATCTTTGACTTGTATATTTAAGACCAAAGTCATATGCTTTGGGCTCAGAGTGACCTTGTTCATGACCCAGCTCTAAACTGGTACTCCTCTCCCTTCTTTGCACTTTGGTTTTCATATCTGTAACATGAGGAGGCAGATTAGGTTATCTCAGAAACAGACTGGGGAAAAAACATTCCTGGAAACTTTAGGCAAGAGAAGGATTAGGGGTGAATTTGAGCACTAGTTAGATACCATCTGCTCCAAAGGTCACAGGTTTCAGATAGATTTAGGATTGTGCTGTTGGTACTCCTTTCCATGAGCCAAGAGACAGACATATCATTGCAAGATGGAGAGAGCTCCCAACCAGGGCCAAAGGAAAAAGAGCCCCTTGGGTACATGGAAAGCCAACTGCACCCCATCATCTTCACAACATCACCTAACGATGCTGTGCAGTCTTCTCTGCTCAGCCTTGAAGCAAGAGGAACCAGAGGGGGTGCAGCTTCAATCCATACTGACTAGAGAAGTCCTGATTCAGGGAGAGGTACCTGGGAAGGCCACCTTCCAGTAGAAGGAATGAAGCCCTGAAACAGGATATGATCACCCTGTGAGTGAGGGTAAGGAAAAACAGAGGGACCAGCAGAGAATGCTGATAAGGAGCAGCCAGCAAGGTAAGAGCAAAAGGGGTCAGGAGTGGAGTCCTGGAAGCCAAGAGGTGGTCCTGAAGGTGGAGGAAGTGATCCATCAGGTCAAATGTTTGTTGTTATTAAGTGCTGCCGAGTTGATTCTGACTCATAGCAACCCTTTATAAGGTGTCCTTGTGACTTATCCTACAGTGACTGACTACACCAGGACTCCAAGCCAAGTGTAGCTGATTGTTAACGGTAAGGGCTGAGGAAGACCAGTTGAATGTGGGGACAGGGAAGTCCTAGGAGAACTAATCATCCCTTGCATATGGACAAGCAGACTGATCCCTTCCCTCCTTTGACAGGTCTTGAGTGTGTAAAACCAAAGAACCAAACCAGTTGTCACAGTGTAGCTTCTGACTCATAGTGCCCCGTGTGTTGCAGAGTAGAATCGTTTCATAGGGTTTTCATGACTGACCTTTGGGGAGCAGATTCGTAGGCCTTTCTTCCAAGGTAGCTCTGGATGGGTTTGAACTTTTTTGGTTAGTAGTTGAATGCTTAATAGCGTATGTCAGTTCCTTTCTTTAATCTGAGAGGAGTGTCTTACAGTAACCCTGCCTTCTGGGGTGACTTCATGGGAAAGCCTTCTGTGGAAAAGCCCTGGCTGGGAAAGGTAATTGTTTTTTTATTGGGATGTAGACAGTACAGAGTTCTGGGCCATAATTCTCTCAGGCTCCTGGGCCAGGCACTGCCCTACCACTAGGCAGCTCAGAACTCACAGACCACCAGGCGCTGCTCTCCACAGGACTTGTCATTCCACTTGCCATTGGTAAAGAGCTCCACACAGTTCTCAGCTCCGCCATTGTTGTTGGGCTCTCCTGGGGCCCAGTTGGAGTAGACCAGAGGCTCTCCTGTAGGGTAGGTGAACCTACCCTCTGTCTTGGTGTCTGTCATGTCCAGAAAGGCTGCCTTGTTGTGGAAGAGGACCAGCTGCTGCACAGCGGCATTCTCAACCTCAGAGCGAGGGGAGGCCACCTTTCCCCCGGCTTGTGCACACACTTGCTGCACATCCTCAAAGGACTTCTCAAAGCCACCTGTCTTGAAGATCTTCTTGCCAACACTCCGACCACTGGGGAAGAGCTCCACTAAGAGGAGAAGGGAGCAGGTTGGAACCGTGGTAACCCATGGGTAAGGCTCAGGCGCTCTAAGACCTCAATACTTCAACCTGAGTCTCTCAGACCCATTTATGGGGTGAAAGTAAGACACAACCTTGCAAAGTGGTACTGTGGCCTCCCATTTTCAGAGAAGATCACTGGAACTCAGAGAGGTTAAGTTAGAGGTCCACCATCACACAGCTGTCAAGCATAGAGTTAGGCCATTCTAATCCCAAAGTTCAGAACTCTCTCTAATTTACCCCATGATGTATGCCTGAATTGTTATTTCAAATACTATGTAGAATTGGAAAGATTTTGCCCAGAGAAATGACACTATGCCCCATAGGGAAGTCTCTGAGCATACACAAAATGCATGCAGCCAGTCCCCTCTCACCTCTGAAAACAGGGAGGCGTTATGCTCTATGATGAGGTGGAGGGACAAGAATAGGGAAAGGTTGAACATTCTAATACTGAGATGTGACTGATGCCACAACTACTCAACATTACCTGAATGTCTTGAGTGAGAAGATAAGTGCATCTGAGAGGCATGTGTGTGATGTGTGTGTGCATCACAGGAGGAGTATGGGCAGTGCTGATAAGAACCTCAGCTGGGAGGCAGAAGGCTGGACCTTCAGCACCATTCTGGCAAGACTGTTGAGGTGGGCAAGAGAAAATCACTTCCCTTTTCAGAGTTTTGCATTCCTCATCTCTAAAGTGGGGTCCCACTGCACAGTGACCTGTGTGATGTGCCCAGTAATCTTTTACTCCTCCCTCCTATCCCTATGGCTTCTGGGCCTCTTTATGGAAATCTTCCACAAGGACCATCCTGACTTTATAGGGCTGTCCAGAGTCCAGGCTGCATCCTGATCCACTACCCTTTGTCTCCAAGTCTCTTCAGTAAGGGCTTACTTGGGAGGTGGGGGACATATCCTCCATAGGCCAGGATGGCACTCAGAACAGCCCTGAACAATGTCAGAGCAAGAGGGTGTGTGCTACTCCTAGGTGTGTGACCCATGTGTCTATGAGTGTGCACATGCACCCAGGAATGTGCTCATGTTTCCATCTGCGGATTCGAGGCATGCTGAAGTCCACCTGGCTGCATCTGAACATATATGTGTATGTGCTTACATGTATACCTGGGCACCAAGTGTATGACTATGCTAAATTGCACACATGTTCACATCTGTGTGTGTGTGTGTGAGCATGTGTGTGAATGTGTTCATGCAGTGAGAGAAAGTAAAACACTAAATGCTCGGGAGAACAAGCAAGATGGCAAATAGGATAGAAATGCAGTGAGGAGCTCCATCAGCAGCAACACAGAATACCAGACCAAGCAGGCTCAGGGAATGGTCCCAGAACTCTGAACCACATATAAAGGAATATTTAGAAAGCTGAAAGGCTTATAGCCAGTGGAATTTGTAGTAGAAGCAAGAAATCCAGTGCTTTCTAATCCAAGGTGCTCAGCTGCTCCTGGAGCCGCCATCTTAGGCAAGACCAACTGGGGAAGGATGAACGCAGCCACAGATGCCTAACAGAACCACGAAGATAAAGATGTGGACATTCTTTTTTTTTTTTAATCTGTTCATTGGTCTCTCGCTGTCTGCATACCTCCATTCTGGTGATTAGAGGGGGTGCCTGAGAGGACACCCCACCCCCACCCCCGGAGGGTTCTATTACTCATGTGCACAAATCTCCTCAAAATTTAAAGGGACAGTTTCTACTTAAAAGCAAACGGCAGTGCAAAATGGCCACAGCTGGCCCTGAGCTGTGTATCAATAGGAAAAAGGACTGAATGGGGTTGTAGAGTGGGATAGGCAGACTAAAAAGGAAACAGGCTGAAAAGTAAATCCTGAGTTATGTCATAATGACCAACAGTGGCATCTTGAAGTCTCTCAGGAAGAAGAATGAAAAGGGAAGCCCATCTCCTGATCACATCTACCTGGTGGCAATCAGAAAGCATAAAAATACCAAAACACACCCATCTAAGTATTAAGGCCACAGCTAACAACTGAATATGCCCCCAAACCAGAAACAGATGACCATATCAGCACACGTCCAGAAACAAGATAAAGTGACTGAGACAAATGAGCTGAAGCTAGACCTACACTCCATACTGGAATGAGGTCAGGTTTTGGAAATGCCTGAGAAGGAATTCAGAAAAATGATTATAAAATGTATCAAAACACTTTACAATGGAGTTGAGAAAAATAAGGAAGAAGTCAGGAAAGTGCTACAGGAACAATCAAATAAGATAGATACAGCATTAGAATCAGTTCAAAACCTAAGAGGTCCAAACAATCAATAATAGAATATCAGAAATGGACAATACACTGAAAGGGCAAAGGAGAAGAACTGAAGAGATGGAAGCCAGAACTAGTGAGCTAGAAGATAAGTCTCCCAATACTACTAAGTTAGAAGAACAAGCAGAAAAAAAGGATTAAAAAATCTGAAGAAGGCCTAAGATTCATGTTTGACATATGAAGAGGAATAACTTAAGAATTAAAGGCATTCTGGAACAGGAAGAATCACACAAGTCCACAGAGGAGATAGTTGAAGAGCTTCTGGAAGAAAATTTCCCTAACATCCTGAAAAATGAAAAGTAAGCATTCAAGAAACTGAACAAACCCCAAGAAGGATAGACCCTAAAAGATAATCACCAAGACATCTAATAATCTAGCTCTCCAAAATCAAAGATAAGGACAGAATCCTGAAAGCAGCTAGGGAAAAGAGAAGTGTAACATACAAAGGGAAGCAAATCAGATTAAGCTCGTATCTCTCAGTAGAAACCATGCTGGCAAGAAGGCAATGGGGAGACATATATAAAACCCTGAAAGAAAAACCTGCCAACCAAGAATCCTCTACCCAGCAAAGCTGTCAATCAAATATGACCATGTAATCAAAACATTTCAGGATAAACAGAAGTTAAGGGATTTTGCCAAAGCCTACCCTGCAATGAAAAACATCCTAAAGGGAGTTCTGTGGACTGAGAACCAACAAGAACAGACAACAACCAGAGACTGACATATGTGGCAGCATATGGAAGAGTTGAAAACAGAATAAAACTATAAGAACAAATTCAGAGGATCTGGGAGGCCAGTCTATGATCAAAACAATTACAGTGTGAAAGAAGGTAAACACAGAGGAACAGAGATCCAAGTGGTGAGGAGGTCAGGTATATTACAGGATAAAATAGACTGTGTTAAATGGAGGGAAAAGTTAATGGAATATAAGGTGACCACAATGGTGGGGTTGGGATGGGGGAGGTGGAGGGAGGTGACGGTAGAACACAGGGTAAGAGCTGACACATCATAGTTCAGGTATTGGGGAGGGCAATACAAGAAGGGTGAGGAGGTAGAAGAACAAGGTAGATAGGGGAACACTGAGACAGGCATGGCCTAAGTGGGACAGAGGTAAATAGTGATGTATGCTCAACCTTGGAACAACAGGGATCTAGGCATAGTTTGAAGAGGGGAAACAATACTAAAATGCCTGACTGTCTTATGAATATTTGTTTCCCTTGTGTACTATTGTAAAATATACACTTGAGTGGGATAGAAAGGAATGTTGAGAAACATGATTACAGAAAACTTGTAAGCCCATCTTCAGCCTATAACTGATTGGAATACCTAAAAG